ACAACAAACACAACTTTCTCCTTGCTCTTTTGCTGCAGGCGCCTTGGTCACTTGTCATCCTCTCCATCTGTGTCCTCGGATGAGAAGGCAAACTGCCTCCCATGGAGGGGAGACTCCAGCTCAGTCACCAACTCCATGACTCCTCCTGCCTCCTCCTGGGATGCCCAATCTGCTTTCTCCACCTGTAACTGTTGGGGAGGGATGGACTCTGATCCCTCCTCACCGTATCCCTGGGTGTAGATACTCCCGCCTGCTGGACTATACCAGCCGGTGCTCCTGTGGCAGGGTCAGATGACTCCTCAGATGAAAGGGTCTCCTCTGCCTGGCCTCTCGCTGCTGCCAAGGCTTTCTCCCACACTTGCTTCACCCGTCCTCATTAACATACTTCTCCCTTAGTATGCCGCTCGCTGCTTTCAGCGTGGAGACAAGGTCACTCTGCACACGGACCGCCCGCTCCATGCTCTCCAACTCTGGCTTCCTACTTTTCCTCTTTGTGCTCCGAAAATGATCAAAAGAGGCCTTAAACCTCTTCAGCTCAAGTTTCATTTGAGCCAACTTCTCCTCCTCCTCAGCAATTTTCCTCACATGCGTAGTAATACATCCCTGACAGGCTGTATAGGTCTCACCAGGCTTAGGGCCCTTTCCCAGGTCCTCTGTAGATGTCCCAGGACCGGTACTACTCGGCACCCCCCATGACTTCCACCGCCACCCGGGTCACGGCCGGGCTCCGCCTTCCTTTTTGGATAGGCTCCAAAATTGAGCCCCAGGCTCCAGATAAGGCTGTGGAGATCAGGACAGTCCACACACACAGCAGTCTGTAACAACCACGCCCACTTCCTCCTAACAAGGCCCAGCTGTAGGTAGGTGGAGGAACCCTAGAAGGGTGTGATTGCTAAGATGCTCCTCAACTCTAATCAGTGCACCAGATTGTATATAAGATTTGTATCTGCCAGTGTGTGTGGTCAGCCATCTAGATTGGAGTGGAGTCTCCCTCTGGTGGTGGCCAAAACATAGTGCGGGCTGTGGAAGTACATCACTGCTGGTCTTATATATGGATTTATATATTCAGAGTTAAGTCCCCTTTATTCCCTCGTACCCCAAGTCACTGCCACACGTGCGTGCCTCGGTTAGCTAGTCACTGTAGGCGTGGCGTGTGAGGAACCCATGACAAATTCCAACATATAAAAACCATATTTGTGGCTTAGGTAGAAGGCCAGGAAAATGCAGGAAATGGTTATGTGGTGCTGGAGTGCGACAGTCGAACAGTTTTTGGTACTGTCGCTATTGGACTCACGCGCTGGTGTCGGAAATCCAATCCCCGACTTGGTGTTTCAAGTCGGTCTTGGTCTTGGTCCAATTGACCCTGAGGGGTGTTCCTGTTCCTGCCCACAGGATGTTGGGTGCTGACCTGCCCAAGTCAATCGGACCAAGACCGGCCTGAAACACCAAGTCGGGGATTGGATTTCCAACTCCAGCGCATCAGTCCGATTGCAACAGTACAAAAACACTGTTTGCCTTTCGCACTCCAGCGCCACCTAACCATTTCCTGCATTTTCCTGGCCTTCTACCTAATCCACAAATATGGTTGTTATATGTCGGTGCGACCCACAGGGTGCCCCATCAAAAGGAAGTATTTTCATCTCTCTGCAACTAATATTTTAGCTGTTCTCAGCGATGAAACATTTCCTTTGATGTGTATATATATTATTATTTGAGCTCCCGATGTCAGGGAGACAATCTGTCTACAGCCATTTCCTTCAAACCGGTTTTCCCAGAAGGTGACAAAATCTTATTAGCCCCCAGGTGCCACTTCCAGAGGAAGCCAGGCTTTTTAGATGTCAATTGATGACCATCTGTCTGAGTACCTATGACTGAATATTTCTTTAATAATAAAGAATGAGCTAAATTTACATTGTCATATTCTCTACAGGTCACATCTTATCTACTCAAATCTGTACATTCATGTCACATGTACGTCACAACCACCACCTTTCCTATTCCCCCGTCTCTCCGAAAGAGAACCTAGCCAGGAATATGAATGGCCCAGTCATGTGAGGAATGAAGCCAAGATTCAGCAACACCAATTCAATCCTAGTTCTCTTCATGCACCAAACCTTCCAACTCACCTATTGTGCTGGGCACACTTCTGGCATTGGGGAACAAACACTTTCATTCACTGACACCTTGTCCATTCACCGACGCCTTGTTCATTCGCCGACGCCGACGCCGACCTTGTTCATTCGCCGTTCACCCTTGTTCATTCGCCGACGCCTTGTTCATTCGCTGACACCTTGTTCATTCACTGACACCTTGTTCATTCGCTGATGCCCTTGTTCACACGGATTTTGTGTATTTTTTATTTTCATACAAATGGTACCAATTCCACTGGTTGTTTGTAACATGGGAACCTTCTTACCATCTGCCATAGCCCTCCCCCCATCTTTCCCCATTCCACCCCCCCAATAAGTACTGACCCCTGTCTGATCTGTCTACCCCATTATAATCAAATTCTCCCTCCCCCCTCCATCCTAGTTTATATACTCCTCCAGCCTTCCCAAAAACCCCTCCCCCAACACAGCAGACCCCCTTCACATGTAGGTGCAAGCCATCCATAGTACATAGGCTGCACCCCAATGAAAAGTCAACCCAGTGCTCCAAGTCAGGACTCCATTTTTATTCTTCTCCTGCCATCAATGGCCATCCCGGTCCCACACTTCATCCATGTCTTTAGGGACCTCTGATCTCCTTATGAACTGTTTCTTCCATGATGAAGATCAGCCATGGAGTATATCTGAGGTGTATATCACGGTGTGCTTCTTCTTCCCCACATGAGAGCTGGGATGTCCAGCAACATTCATCTAGAAGACATTTCCCACACTCAAGGCACTAATATACCTCCAGGGTTGTGTGGGATCCCTGATGTACAGGAAGACAGGACTTCAGTGAGGAACATTTCCCTCACTCAGGACAGGAACATAAGGCTACTCCCCTGTGTGTGATCTCTGATGTCTGTAAAGATTGGACTTTTCTGCAAAACATTTTCCGCACACAGGACAGGAATACGGCTTCTCCCCCGTGTGATATCTCTGATGTGAGTGAAGACTGGACTTCTGTGAAAAACTTTTCCCACACTCAGGACAGGAATACGGCATCTCTCCCGTGTGAGATCTCTGATGTGTGAAAAGATGGGACATCTGTGAAAAACTTTTACCACACTCAGGACAGGAATACGGCTTCTCTCCCGTGTGAGATCTCTGATGTCTGTAAAGATGGGACTTCCTTGAAAAACATTTCCCGCACTCAGGACAGGAATACGGCTTCTCCCCCGTGTGAGATCTTTTATGCCTATTAAGATTGGATTTAAAGTTGAAAACATTTCTCACACTCAGTACAGGAGAAGCTCCTCCCTTTGGAAGGCCGCCCGGTCCCACACAGTCTGAGGTTCCTCAGGATACGAGGAATCCGATGGTCCATCTACACTGGGTGGTGCCAGATGGACATTGGAGGGAGCTGGGTTTTCTCCTGGACTATACTGTGTGATGTCCTCATCTTCTACTTTCCAGTCTGGAGACAAAGTGAGACAATCCTCGGAGGTTTTCCTCATCTCCCGGCCATGGACTAAAAAATACAAAGACAAAGAGGATTACTAGACAGGAGCTGATTGGTTCCCCCAAACCAGGACTCTGCCCACATCAGGCAGCTTGGTCTCTGAGGAGCTTACAATTCCACCCTCAAGGGAACTAGGAAATGGCTCCTCTGATCTCCTACCAGGTCATTTCTTTATTCATGGACCTTAGTCAGAGAGTGAGGAAACAACCAGAACTGTCTTTTATAGGAGGGACAGTGATGAGGGGATTATAGGACGAGGGTCCCCACCCCCTCTATCACTCATCGCCATCTTCCCAACACAAGAAGTACTGCACTTCCTTATTTAGTCCATGATTTAGTCATGAAGAACAGCGGGGCTGAGCCCCACCAGAGGTCAGAGAGTGAGGATGGGGGGAGAACAACCAAGATGAAGACTGGACTGATCCTGAAGACCACCATCATTGGGGTATTGACCCCTCCCCCATTATCACTTTCTGTTTAAGGGTCCAAAGTTGGAGGATGTTATCACATTATTATCACCATGTAAAAGTCTGTGCTCCAATCACATCATCTGATATTAAATGTCCAGCTGGGAGGAAATGGGTGTAACAAAAGAGAATCCATATTATGTGTATATATAGCAGTGGGGGGAGGGGGGAGAGGAGCAGAGTAGTCAGGAGTATGTAATGTACAACATAGAGTATATAGTGCAGGGGTCAGGAGTATGGAATGTACAACATAGAGTATATAGTGCAGGGGTCAGGAGTATGTAATGTACAGCATAGAGTATATAGTGCAGGGGTCAGGAGTATGTAATGTACAACATAGAGTATATAGTGCAGGGGTCAGGAGTATGTAATGTACAACATAGAGTATATAGTGCAGGGGTCAGGAGTATGTAATGTACAACATAGAGTATATAGTGCAGGGGTCAGGAGTATGTAATGCACAACATAGAGTATATAGTGCAGGTGTCAGGACTATGTAATGTACAATATAGAGTATGTAGTGCTGGGGTCAGGAGTATGTAATGTACAATATAGAGTATATAGTGCAGGGGCAGGAGTATGTAATGTACAATATAGAGTATATAGTGCAGGGGCAGGGTCAGGAGTATGTAATTTACAATATAGAGTATATAGTGCTGGGGTCAGGAGTATGTAATGTACAGGTATATGTAATATGTAATGTACAATATAAATTATACAGTGTAAGGGTCAGGACTCATAATATTGGTATTCAGCAATCAGTGGTGGCCTAGATGTCCACATGAGACAAGTTGCAGAGGTCCCACACCACTTCCTCCCATCTCCTGAGACTGAATCCATTGTTTCTATGTGTTTATCAGATGATGGGGGATCTAGGTGGATCCTCCGTACTGCTCTCTCCTTTACAATAAAGTCTCCTCTTACCCGGTGATGTGAGGGGCGGCTGATTGTCCATCATGACGTCCTTGTAGAGATCCTTGTGTCCTTCTAAATACTCCCACTCCTCCATGGAGAAATAGACAGTGACACCCTGACACCTTATAGGAACCTGACACACACAATGATACAGTCACCATCCAGACACATCCCTTGTCTGTTACTAGAGAATGTCCCAGAATTCCCGGCACCGCTCACCTCTCTCCTGTCAGCAGCTCTATCATCTTCTTGGTGACTTCTAGAATCTTCTGTGTCTTCTGTCTTGTAGGGATCAGGGATGGAGGTGGGGGGATGGTGATGGGATTCTGGATTCTCGAGGATCTTGTGGTCATACGATGAGGTCTCCTTCTTGTGTCATTGTCGGCAGATTTCTTCATGACTCCTGTACAGTTCTGTGTGATACAAAGAGGTCTTACCTGTCCATAATGGACAACAAGAGGAAGTACTTGGCATAGCAGAGTCCAACGTTTGGTGAAAGGATTGGTGCAAAGCTGAAGGTTTTGGTTCTGTTAGTCATGATGCCATCAGGTGGTCTGACATTGAGCTGTACAATAGAGATGGTCTGCATCCCTCACACAAGGGCGCTCAGCTCCTTACTATGGAATTTAGTAGGTTTTTGGACATGCATTTAAACTGAGAAATGGAGGCAGAGATGTCATTGTTGAGGATCATTTCTGTCCCCAGCAGGCTGAAACAAATGTGAGGTTGGTGTTGCTCAGGACGGGGCTGATGGGGTCACTTCAGTTACAGTTTCGGGTGGTAAACATAAAGCAGTAGATGTCAGTGCTTGTCATGTCATTGCACTAATGCTCCGAGTTTAGGCAACAAGCTTTGTGAGCTGACAGCTCTTATGTCTAGGGACCACTTGGACCTTCTTGTAATTACAGAGACGTGGTTCAAGGATTCAGATGACTGGGAAGTAACTATACCAGGGTATACACTATACAGGAAAGACAAAGTAGGGGGGAGGGGAGGTGGAGGTGGAGTTGTCATATATGCAAGAAATAGCATAAGGAGAACATTAATTCAAACAACAAATGAAATACTGGAGACCCTCTGGATTTGCCTTCCAACCAGAGAGGCATCTTCCCTTAGAATTGGTGTCATATGCAGACCCCCAGGACAGACTGAAGATTAGGAGGACTTCTTGATTGATGAGATAACTCAAATGGTAATGAAGGGGGTGGTTTTCATTATGGGTGACGTCACCACGCCTGACATTAACTGGAACTCTCAAACTGCTATTAGAAGCAGGAGCAAGGATGTAATGGAAGAACTGAATGGGGCTTCTCTAAAACAGTAAAGTCCATCCCAAGGCGATCATATTCTAAAAAGAAGAATTTTGGTGAAATGGGAAATGCGAGTGTCTAAAAAATGAGTTGAAAGGTTGGAGTAAAACAATCGGAGTAAAGTAATCCGTGAGCACTGTTAGAGTCTACAATCCTGGAGGCAACTAGATTATATGTCAGGCAAGTTAGTAAGAATAAACAGAAGAGACAACCAATATGGTTCACTAAAGAGAGAAGTAGGATAGTAAAGGAAAAGAAATCATCATATAGGAGATTCAAGGAAACAGGAGGTGGAGGTGATAGAGAAGAGTATAAAAATAGACAAAAGGAGGCCAAACACATTATCAGCGCTGCCAAAGCACAGAAAGAGGAGGAAATTGCTAAATCTATGAAGAAAGGAGATAAAACATTTTTAAGTACATTAGTGATAGAAAAAATACGATGGGATCACTAAAATGAAATCTGGGCATCACACCTATGTTGAGGGAGAACTGGACGTAGCAAACCACTTAAACAATGACTTTTGTTCAGTCTCTTCCGAAATAAATTATACTAATAATAATAAGATAGGAAATCATATTGATTGTAGTAATGATGGATCATTTTTAGGATTTCTGGAGACAGAGGCAGCAGAAGAACTGGCTCGATTAAAGATTAATAAAGCAATGGGCCCTGATGGATCATCCCAGAGTTCTCAGAGAACTTTGAGGTCTAGTTGTTGGACCAGTAATGGATCTTTGTAGCCTCCCTAGTGTGATTATGTCAGTATTTCTGTGCTCAAAGCGGTACACTTTTTTGAATGGAAATATGTCGTTTTTTTATTGTAGGCCTGTAATTTTTAGGAATAACTCACTGAAATCTGTCCGAACAAGAGTCTAGTAAACATCCCAGATATGATAAAATTTTAAAACACAAAATCATAAATTATAATTTAATAAATAATCATAAAAAATAATAATATAATAATAATACATTTAATTAAATAATATATCATCAAACCAAAAACACTGAAATTTGAAATAGAGCGTCAAGTTCACACATCACTGAGTTCAGTCGCAGAATCGTTTTCAGTGTCTGATGAGGAATTTCCCCCACGAATCATTATCACTCAATTCTGCAAGTGGTTCTGATTTACTATCGCTGTTCTCTAGCCGGTCTAAAACCGCTTTTGACCTAAAGGGACGACATGGACATTTCTCCGTTTCCAGGCATAAAGAACAGTAAAAATGAAGGCAAGGCACTCGGGACAAAATGTATGTGAAATGGTTTGATACAGTAATGTTATACTATGTGATTTTAGTGTATTTAGTGAATGTCACTTTTTGACATTTTTTAAATTTCGCTCCGGTTACATCCCCCCGTACGTCCTGAAGACGCAGTGAAGGGAACCCGGAAGACAGATGCTGGCATCGGCCAGAGGAGATGGCCAAGACGCCGCAGGGGGGACATAACGGGAGCAAAGGACAAGGTAAGTGCAGAAGAGATCCCGGAGCAACGCTGCAAGGTATTCTCGAGTGTAGCTCAGGGGGCGTCACCACTTGTGGTGCTGAAACTTTACCCTGAGCTACACCTGGGAATACCATCAGGGAGGTTAATCAATCTCTTCTAACAGGAGAAGTTCCCCATTACTGGCAGACAGCTAATGATGTACCGATCCACAAGAAGGGCAGCAAGGTAGAAGCCGGCAATTACAGGCCAGTGAGTCTAACATCGGTGGTAGTCAAGTTAATGGAATCACTCCTGAAAAGAAGGATCATTGATCATCTAGAAACACACAACTTGCTGGATCCAAAGCAGCATGACTTTGCTGAGGGCAGATCATGGCAGACTCATCTGATTGGACTTTTTGACTACTATATTATCAATGTTTTGGACCAGGGTGGTGCTGTGGACATAGAGTATCTTGATTTCAGCAAGGCATGTGATAGAGTTCCACATAATAATCTAATACAAAAGTTGTACAAACTAGGACTTAGACCTTGGGTGATTCAGTGGACGTGCAGCTGGCCTAAGGATAGATACCAGAGTGTGGTTGTAAATGGGGTTCACTCGGAACAGAAACCAGTCACTTGTGGTGTACCCCAAGGTTCTGTACTGGGTCCTGTTCTATGTAGTATATATGTAAGTGATAGAACTAAAGGGTTGTTGGGTAAGGGGATGTCTCTTTGCTAATGACACAAAGGTGTGTAATAGGGAGGATATCCCTGGAGGTGTCTGTAACATGGAAACAGGATCTGGCATTGCTGGAAGATTGGTCAGAGAAGTGAAAAATTCAGTTCAATGTTCTAAATGTAAAATAACGCACCTACGGAAAAAGAATACCTTGCGAGAATACAACATTGGGGGTACAGTGTTGGCCAGCACTACAGAGGAAAAGGACTTAGGGGTACTTATTTCAGATGACTGCAAAATGAGCAGACAGTGTGGCCAAGCAGTGGGGAACACAAAAAGAATTCTAGGATGCATTACTAGAGGGGTCCATCGAAGGAGGAAGGAGGACCCAATTCCTCTATATAAATCTTTATACCACTAGAGGGTTCACCAGCAGGAGGAAGGAAGCCTTAATTCCTTCATATGGATCTTTATATCACTAGAGGGGTCATCGACGGGAGGAAGGAGGTCCTGATTCCTCTATATATATATATCATATCACTAGAGGGGTCACCAGCGGGAGGAAGGAGGTCTCAATTCCTCTATATAGATATTTATATCATTAGAGGGTTACTGGTGGGAGGCAGGAGGTCCAGATTCCTCTATATAGATCTTTATATCACTAGAGGGGTCACCAGCGGGAGGAAGGAGGTCCTGATTCCTCTATATAGATCTTTATATCACTAGAGGGGTCACCAGCGGGAGGAAGGAGGTCTCAATTCCTCTATATAGATCTTTATATCATTAGAGGGGTTACTGGTGGGAGGCAGGAGGTCCAGATTCCTCTATATAGATCTTTATATCACTAGAGGGGTCACCGGCAGGAGGAAGGAGGTACTGGTTCCTCCATATAGATCTTTATATCGTTAGAGGGGTCAACAGTGGTAGGAAGGAGGTCCCGATTCCTCCTTATTATTATTATTATTATTATACAGGATTTATGGCGCCAACAGTTTGCTCAGCACTTTACAATATAACGGGAGACAATAAAGCAACAATACAGTTCAATACAAGAGGGAAAGGAGGGCCCTGCTCCTTGGAGCTTACAATCTAGGAGTGAGGGGCTAGTGGTACAAAAGGGAATAACTGTGGGGGGACGGGGCAGAGCCTGACAATGGCGGCGGAGAGCTCGTGGTAGGAGCCCCCCACCGACCCCCCCACCAAATCCCCCTAGATCCATGGAGCTCCAGAACGCTGAGACTCACCTCAGCCTGGTGGGCTCCCACGGATGAGCGACAGCCCACGGGAGGGAAAGCCGGGGAGCTGGAGGAGAGCAGCGGTGAGAGGCTGGAACAGTGAGCCTGGTTGCCAGAAGACGAGGAGGCGCAGCCAGGACACGAGACCAGCCGCAGTGCATCCCTGGGAGGCGAGAAAGCCGGCCGGCCAGCCGGCGCCTAAAGAGGGAACAGGAGAAAGATTGACCTGCTGGACGGCCAGCTATTCCGGACCCCTGTCGTGGAGCTGGCATGGAAAGAACAGCCCGGTCTAAGGAAGGAGAGATTGGAGGAAAGTCCTGGAGGGTCCCCCTGAGAGGAGGAGGAAAGGAGCTGACCTGCTGAAAGAAACTGGAGGAGGAAGCCTGGAGCCGTCTCACGAGAAGAAATGAAAAATAAAAGCGCAAAAGGAA